GCATCAAAATGAATTGATCATTGGTTCAATTACCTTTAAACACTTGTTTGGGTCTTTTATCCCTTTCTTTCATAAGCATGAACCACAACCTACATTAAGTGCCTTAAAATTCTCTTCTAATCATACATGGATTTTAAATAGAATATACTATCTTCATATTTCATCCTGCGCATAAGGATTAATCTTTTATTTACAAAAGGTTTTCTAAAATCTTTAATGCATGATTGATGGAAACATGAAAAAATAATAACAAAGGGGGGTTCAAGACATAAATTCTAAATAACGTCTTGAAACCAAAGGAGGATTCGAGTTGAAAACCTGAAAAGGCAGCTCGAATATAAAAACTGTGTAGATGTTGTATAGAAGATAATATCACAAATCCTTATAAGGCTTCGCACAACCTGAGTGTGATCATGAGAGTCGAGAGCCGGAGAACACTTCCAGTAGATGAGCATAAAAGCTACTCCATCATATCAGTGAACATAAAAAAACGAGAATACCAAACCTTTGACCAAAGGCAACAACCTAACACATTTTATCCTCTCCTTACTTAACAATAACTCAAAGATAACATTAATATTGACACTTGTCGAATAACTTTAATTTATTGAAGGATTAAAAGAGTAATTAATTCTTTGATAACCAATTAACTCTTTTTTTATGATTTGTCTCAATTGTGAAAACTAAGAAAGCGACAATATTTTTCAAATTTTTTATTAAACATTCTTCAACATTCTTTTAGTTGATATTTTCAGACTTTTGAAAATAAAAGAAGAAGAAAAATGTTTTTCAAACAAGACAATCTCTCTGGAGTGGATCTTGGTAGTTGACATGTTGCTCTCAGGCACAAAGCACATGCTTAGAATCAGTGCTGAAGCGAGAAATGATGAATGTTGAGGGCATCTTCGGAGATTCAACATCCTGAAGTGAACGATCAGATCTTTGAAGGCTTTTCCTCCACATGCAGAAATAAACAAACTATCGATCGCCTTTGAGATTGTTTCTCTCGAAACAAAGGGTAGTCTCGCTTGAGACAAGTTTTCTTAAAAAACAATTTTATTTGCTTAGACAATAAAACAAATTGTTTCGATACAAATTTCGAGTTTGTTTCACTTGAAACAAAGTTGATCTCACTTGAGATTGTTTTTCTCAAAACAAACTTTGTCTCACTTGAGACAGTCTTCCTTAAGACAAACTTTGAAATTGTTTCTCTTTAAACATCATATTTGAGTCGTTTCCCTTGACATGAATTTTGTCTCTCTTGAAATAATCATCTTTGATTCGTTTCCCTTGAAACGAATTTTGTCTCTCTTGACACAGTTTCCCTTGAAAAATCATTTTTGAGTTTGTTTCTCTTGAAACAAATTGTCTCCCTTGAGATAGTTTCTCTTGAAACACAAATCTTTGAGTTAATTTCCCTTGAAACAAGTTTTGTATCCCTTGAGAAATTTTCTCTTGAAACACCCACCTTTGAGATCGTTTCCCTTGAAATGAATTTTGTCTCACTTGAAACAGTTTCCATTGAAACATCATCTTTGAGTCTGTTTCCCTTGAAATAAATCCCTAAATGGCATGTTCTCCTCATTGCGTAGGAACCGTCATCCACCAACCAAACCTACTCATCACGTAGGAGTTGTGTTAGCCCTAGATAACCAGCCTTCCCCATCACGTAGGAACCATATTATTACCGTCCCTAAAGTTGGCATGTCATCCTCATCGCATAGGAACCGTTCATCCACCGACCAGTTCTCCTCATCATATAGGAGTCGTGTCACCCTTAGATGACCAGAACTCTTCATCACGTATGAGCAGTGTCGTCCCCAACCATAAACACTATCAAATTTCAAAACCAAAAAAAAAGAGAACCAGACAAAAACTGGTTGCCTTTTTCGTCTTTGTCTTATTCTTGTTAACATAAGAATGTGCAAAGAGGGACAGCTGTAGACACCCGTTTTTGTTCGGTTCTACAAAAAATTATTATTATTATTATTATTATTATCATTATTATTATTTATTAATATTACATCTTATATTTTTGCAGGCCTTAAAGCCCAAACCAGATTACAACCCAACAACAAGTCCACCCGAGCCCAGACCCAGATACAACAACACCTAGAAGCCCAATTACAATATACAAGACCCAGCAGCCAGCAGCCAACAACCTAATACATAACCCAAGACCCAACTCAACAGCCCAATAAGAGGATCCAGACCCTACCCAGGATCCAGAACCCGATCCAGGCCCATCAACTCCAGCCCACCCGATTTCGACCTGTTTGGATCCCAACAACACTCAACCCTACCCGAAGAGGACCCGAATTGACCTATTTAATAACCCTAAACCTTTGGGGTTTCTTCCCTCTGCCCCTGACGCCTCATACGTCAGTACCATTAGATTGGACCCATCTAACGACCCAGATCAATGGCTATTTAAGGTTTAAAACCCTAAACCTAAAGAGCTATCATCACCATTTGTTGTTGCTGCCAGTACCAACCACCTTTGACGCCGTCGTTTTCATCTACAGTCAACCATCAAAATCCTATCAAAAACCCAATAAAAAAATTTTAGATGATATCCTAAGGAAATATGAAACCTGTCAAAAGGAGATTCGTTGGTAGCATTATTTTGGGAGGATCAAAAGCCATAAACATAAAAGAAGAGGCAAATAGAAAAGGGGGATTTATTCGGGTTCAGAGAGAAAATACAGAGGGGATTCGAAGCGAGACAAAGAGAGAAACCAAGAGAGATTCGGGGTTGGAAAAAATAACACAATGAAGGAGAGAAAAAAAGATTCGAAAAAAGGAAAGGGGAAAAACCAGAGAGGATGGATTCAGGGTTTTAAGGAAAAATCGAAAGAAAAAGAAAAGAAAAGAAAGAAGAAAGAATGAGAAGGGAAGAAAAAGTTTACCTTTTTATTTAGATTTGCTCCGATCTAGCCCCCATCTCAAAATGACCTCGGATTCATACTGAGAAGGAGGAGACACTTCTGTTGGTATCTTTTTACCTCTCTTTCGGCGCCAGTGTATGGTAGTTGTCGTCGGGCGATGGTGGTTGATACGGAAGAAACATCGTCGGATTCTGGGAATGAAGATTCAGGTTGAAGCTTTTGAGAGAGTTCTCTCTTTCTCTCTCTTTTCAAAATGAAGAAAATGAAGCAAATGGAATTGAGGAAGCCGATTTTGGCCTGAACCTTGATTTTATATGCTATCGATATGATGTCACTTTAGAGGACCTAGAAATCATTTTCGCGAGTGGGTTATTTAACAGTGAAGGTCCTCTATATCTTGTACCCTCCTATTTTAGTCATTAATGCAATTTATTTCATTTTATTTCGATATCTTGTTTTTATATATGTTGTAATTTAGTCCTCATTTACCTTTGGATACTTTTATATTTTATTTAAGCCTAGGTCATCGTGTTTTAGTTTATTTATACTTAAGCAATTTATTTTCTTGGTTAGTTTATTTTAGTCCTTATATGGTTTATTATTACATTTTTATTAGAGTTTGACTTTGGTCATTATATTTGTAATTATCTCTTTTTAGTCACTGCTTCATAGTTGGTTTAATTATTATTTGGTATTTTATTTTATGTTCATTTTATTCTAGTCCTCATCATCATTTATGGGTTATTTCCATTTATAGTGTATGTATTTGTTTAAAATGTTGATTGTGGATCTGGTTTATTTATATTTTGTGGTTCAGCCATTCGAAGTTCTATTTTTGATATTTTAGTCATTTAAATTTCTGTTTTTTCTATTTTGATTCTTTAAATTGAATATGATTATTTTTTATTATTTTTTTTGATATGTAATATTTTAATTTGTTCTAATCCTTCATGCATATGTATTTTGTATATTACGACTATATATATGTATTATTTTAAATAGACGTTATTAGCTCTGTGTGTTGTGAATATTTTATTTCGTAGATTTCAAATTGTATTTGGTTTCGGTTTTTTTTCGTTATCTATCGATTAATATTATCTGAATAATTTCGAGAACACTGATTTATAGAACAGCGTGGAAAGCACTACTTGGTCGAAGTATTGCGATCCGATACGACATTCGAACGAAATGGGAACTTGAAATAAATCACGTTCATTTTACTAATTAAATTTTGTTTATTCAAATAATTCATTGCGTTTTTATGTGGTAAGTTATTCTATGCAAATATCGATTTTCCATTTATATTCGATTCATGTTTTTTAAATCAATGAGGAGGGAATATTCTTTTACTGATAAGAAATAGGCGAGTTAGCTTTCTCGATAGAGGATTGCTAATTTCAAGATTTCTTTTCATGTTAAAATTTTTTCCCTAATAATAAATAATTCTAAACAACTTAATAAATTGATCATATTTTAATTTTATATTCAATTCTTAATTTCCACCATTTACAACAATTTGGGCGTTGTGGGGTGTTTAGCCTTCCCCACACGTAATCGACTCTCGGACCCTTTAAATAAAAATTTTGGTAAACGTAGACAAGTTTTCGTCTTAAAAACAATTTTTCCTTAAAATTGTTTTAAAAGGCAGTTTTTAGGTATTCGACATACCTAACCTAAAGGTCGATAGCGACTCTTTTCAACATAATTCAAATTAATACAAAATCAATCATATTTTAAATAAAAAAGTCATAACTATTTTTTAAAATAATATTTAATTGTTTTTTTGAACAAATGGTTATGACACACTCTGCCTTAATATTGAGAAACTTATTCGCAACTTCATATGGGGCTCTACCCAATCGGTCCCGAAGATTTCGCTCATAAATTGGGAATCAGTTTGTCAACCGCTTGATAAAGGCGGCCTTGGTCTTCGCCGCATATATGAATACAACAAATCTTTTTGATGAAGATTGGTGTTGCTCTAATCAATAACACTAGCTCCTTCTGGATTCAGCTCCTTCGGTAAAAATATAAAATTATTGATTTGTTGCCCCGTTCTATTCAACGTTCCAATAGCTCTACTTTGATGAAATCTCTTTCAAAATTTTGGGAGGAATTTCGTTCTCATATAGCTTGGTCTATTAGAGATGGTTCTACTAGGCCTGTAAATGAACTGAACGTTCAGCGAACCGTTCATGAACCGTGCGGCGGGAAGTTCCTTTATGTGCGTTTATTTATTAAATGAATGAACATGAACAAGATTTTGTGTTCGTTTAATTAAATGAACGATCACGAACATAGGTCTCGTTCGTTCATTTACGTTCGTGAACGTTCAGTTATGTTCGTTTATGTTCGTTCATTTATGTTTAACCCAATCTTCTTAAATTAATTTTGGTGACCAATTTGTAAGTATCTTAAAAATATTAATTAATCTGATATTCTGATGACCAACTCCATAATTAACCCAATTTTATTTGGAGATTAAATCCAATATGTTAACTCGTGAGGCACCTCACACCTATATTCATTTTCCCCTTTTTTCCCAAACCCTAGTGTTCACTGGAAAGTGGAGATGATCAGTGAAAGCTTCAAAACAAGTTATATTATAGTGCAATATGAAGTTTTACAGGTCCGTTTTCATCTCTTTCTCTATTTTATTTGGCTTAATAGTTGATATGTAAAATTATTGTGGGTATTTTCACATCTAAAACTCAAGAAAACATCATATTTCTTTCTAGAAATAGATGGGAAGATAAAGGTAACAATCGGAAATATATGAGCATCAATAAAGAGAAAAATATATAGAATTTGCCAGAAAACAAAACAAAGATTTTTATGCAATTTATGAAAAAGAGTGTAATAGCGGAAGTAATGGGTTTTCCAGGAAGAACCCATTAATAAGCAGAAAATACACTTTGACAATGAACTTTTGTTTTCATAGTTCTTGTGTGACCTTTAGTTGTGGAGTAGACTTTAGGTACGTTAAAATTTTGAATGGTGGTTTATCAATAATATCAGTTAGATTTGTAGCATCAGAGGGATTTCGGATCTTGTTATTGCCTTGTAGTTCAATTTGTACCGTTCGAAATCTTCATGCTGTTAAATTTTCTATTATGCCAATGGAAATGACCATTATTAACAAATTTCACTAAAGTCCGACATTGATGTCACAAAACTTTTAGCCGACGAATTTATTAGAATAGCGTAGTAAAAAATGATTGTTCATATGTAATCATGGACCACTAAGATAAATGTTATAGTGTTAAATTAAAGTTGTGTGAATCATTTAATATCTTTAAAAGATCGATCGAAATATATGATATTTTCAAACATTTCATCACTGCTAATCAGCTCTTACGCTATTTATCATTGTAGATTTGGTTGATTTGCAATGTCGACTATTTTTCATGAAAGAACAATGGAAGGTAGGGTTTTTTTTGTTCATGTTCGTTTATGTTCGTGTTCATTTATGTTCGTGTTCGTTTATGTTCGTGTTCGTTTATGTTCGTGTTCGTTTATGTTCGTTTATTTATTAAATGAACGAACATGAACAACCTATATTCCTTAATGAACGAACATGAACAAAAAAAATTTGTTCGTTTATGTTCGTGTTCGTTTATTAAATGAACGAACATGAACATACCTCCGTTCCTGTGCGTTCGGTTCGTTTACAGGCCTAGGTTCTGCTATTAATCCTTGGGAGGATATTTGGATTCCTCATTTGGGTCCCTTACGGGATCATGTAACTGATCCCTCGACACAACAACTCTACCCCTCTTTGAAGATCTCATGAGTAATACAAGTTCTTAGAATTATACTCTTTTATCTTCTTTATTTCCTGCAGACGTTTTGCCTCATTTTGCTAGCATTCGTTGTTCTATCATCGGTGATACTAAAGACTATTGTAATTGGTGTTGGCACGATAATTTCTCAATCGGCAACACCTCGAAAAACTCATGGAAAATAACTGGGAGCCCCATTCCACGGTTTGGAAAACAATTTGGCATTCTCCCGTCCCTCAAAGAGTCTGTCCGTTCATATGGTTGGCCTTTAAGGAGAGGCTCCTAACAAATGTTGAGCGTTTTCGGAGAATCTTATCCAATTCGACCATTTGCATAATTTGTCGGACCTCTAATGAAACATTTCAGCATATTCTAAGAGACTGCAACTTTGCTTGCGATGTTTGGAACCATGTTTCTCCGCAAGTGTCAATTCTGACTTTCTTTACAGCTGTGTTCATGATTGGATTTTGCAAAACATCAACACAACTGCAACCTGGTCTATCTCTGACATCCACTGGAATTTAACCTTTGCTGCTATTTGCTGGCATCTTTGGAAAACTAGGACTAGCTGTATTTTTGCAACGGGTTCCACCGATTCTTCAAATATTATACATCATAACTTACTCTGGGCAAAGCATTATAGCACTTGCAGGAATTTGCTTGATGTACAAGCAGCCCCCTCGACAGTAAGCTCTCATCAGCTGGACTCCCCCACCATTTCAGTGGATAGCTCTTAACACAGATGGCGATTTATGCTTAGGAACGAAGATAGCTACCATCGATAGCCTCTTGCGTGATAGCACTGGACATTGGTTAGGTGGCTTCAATCGCACCATTGGTTTTTCAAATGCTTTACTAGTAGAACTATGGGCCATTCAAGATGGTCTTTGTCTTTACTGGGACCTTAGCTACAAATTAATTCAAATCCGATCAGATTGCTAGAAAGTCATAGCTATCATCAACGATCCTAATGCTCTCTCATGTCAGCTTCCCCTTGTTCGAGCCATCTCCTTATTAAAGCTACGTAGTTGGGAGCTTGATTTTACTTGGACCTATCGAGAAGCAAACTTTTCTGCTGATGCCATGGCAAAAAATGTCACACCGGACCATTTTGATCTGGTTTATCACTCCCTCGCCCTGAATTTTGTTCAACACTTGCTGCAACACGACTCTGACGACCCCCTACTGTACTTACAGACCTGCCTAGTTAGGTGTCTGATCTCATTATCATTCAAAAAAAAAAAGACTTCCTGAGCGATTAATCTATGGATCTCTCTAATATAACTGGAGTATTGTTTCGAGGATTACTCGAAGAAGGGACATTTTCTATTCCTTTATTTTTGTAATAAAAAAATATTTTTAATATAATATAAAATAAAAAAAAATAAAATTTATTTTATTTTATTTTATGTTAAATGTCTCAAACGAAGGTGATCTATGAGAAAACATTCAAAAACCTGGAATGTGATTTCTTAAAAAGCACGAATGAAAAGACATCCTATCAATTTTTAAATCTTAATAAATAAAAATATTGTGTTTATCATTTATTTATTTAATTATCATTATTATATTTGATATTTCATTCATCTTGTTCATATTATTTATTATTGTTGCATCATTGAATCATGCATTTATTTTCTCATTTTCTAAAATAATCAAAGGCAATGTTACTCTATATCAAGAGTTAATGGAATCATGTCAAACATGACTGTATAATCATTTTCGTTAACTCTTGAAGCAAAGGGATATCCATTTTAAATAAAATCGAGTGAATCAAATTCATTTTAAAGTCAAACATTTGACAAAGAAATTGTCTCTTTTCAAAATTCATTAATAGAAGTTAAGGGATCGTAATTTAAAATTTGGATTCAAATAAATAAAACTCTACTATTTTAGACAATGTATAATCTATAGGTATTAATCTTGGGCCCTGTGGGGTATTTACTTTTCCTCACGCGTAATCGACTTCTGAATCTTTAAAAATGGATTTTTGATAATACACAAACCAATTTTTGTCTTTAAAATGATTTCTCTTAAAATTATTTTAAAAGACGTTTTTAGGTGTTTGACATATCTAACTCAAAGGTCGATGACGACTCTAAAAATCAAATTTATAAAATCAAATTCAAATTCTCTCCAAACTAAGTCGTTAACGTAAAATTCAGGATTTTCTTTAAAAAAAAACTCATTATAATATATATATATATTATGTGTTTTATTTATTTTATATTTTAAAAATTATTATATTCAAACCAAATAAATTCCAACCACCGTCTAAATGAGGCTTAACTCTAAAACCCACGGGAAAAGAACTCCAAAAGTCTTCCTTCTTGCCGTAATTTGGGGTGTGTTCTCATTTGGACGGTGACCAACCACATTTCCAATCCCCAACCTGAATTGCGCATTTAAGGCAGAAAACATACCAAGACTCCGAGCGAATCCGAAAATCCACGGCCATAAGAATCACGCAAAACTCACCCATTGCAACCATTTTCCTTGGGCCACCATCAGTGCTGAATTTCACCCAATTCAAATCTGGTTTTGACCTTTTTAAAATTTAATTAGATCTAAATTCTTTTGAGAAAGTCTCAAAGTATTTTTCAAACAAATTTTAAAAAGTTAATCAAGGCTTACTGGAGCTAAAAGTTTTCAATTCAATCCTTATTTCCTTTTTTTGCAATCAATTAAGATTTTAAACTCATAAAATTAATCAATTTGACCCTTAGACAGACAAACTCATTTGAATATTATTGTTTTCATGCATGTCTTTAAACTATTATAACTAATTGGAACTCAATAATTTATTGTTTTCATGCATGTGATTGGCTTCAAATCATTTTACAAAATAATCAAAATTCACATCGATGCATTATTTATATTTCTAAATGACCCACTTGCTGTAATAGAATGAACAAAACAATTGATGATAAAGCATTTCACGTATGCATAATGTTTTAAAATTCAGAATAATAGAACTAGTTCTAATGATTAAAGAAAAATTTAACAATTCGAATAATATAAAGAAGAGCGTGCAAAGTGATAAGAAGACAAAATAGAGGAAGATCAGCTCACACTTAGTTTAGTCTCATTCATTCATTTTTTATAATTAATGATAAAGATCTTCAGTAAACCAATGTTACGGCATTTGAATAATATCCAACTTAGTTGAACCTCTTACTCCAACAAACCTCGGATCCATGGCCGCTACTATCACCGGCCATAAACCCTCGGCGGTTTTCAAACCAATAGTCGAATCCCACAAGTTCTCCGGTTTCACCACACATCTTCTCTCAACTCCTTTCTCTTGCAAAACCAACCCAAACCCATTAAAGCTCAGGACCAAAAACAGAAGAAATTGGGTCATCGGATCAGTCACGGAGGGCAAAGAATTGGCTCCATCCAAGACTGACCATTCCGATGAAGCTAAGAAACCAAATGCGTCCAAAATTTTGGAATCTTCTGATGATGATACGGGAGGTGGTGGTGATGATGTCAAGAAGATGAGTAGTAGAGCGATCAATGCATCTATTGTTCTTGGAGTTTGGCACACTTGCTGTATCTAAGCTGCTTACAATTGATCATGATTACTGGCATGTAAGTTATCTCCCAGGTTCAATTCAAATGAGCTTCTGTCTCTTGGTTTGTTATTGTTTTGAGAAAGGTATTTACCATCGATAGTACTTCTAAGTTTTACTTCTTTATTTGCTAGAGTTGGTTAACTTCTTCCGTTCATTTCTTTATGTTAATTTTGAGTTATTTTACGTGTTAATAAATTTCTAAACTAACCATGAAAGCTGAAGTTTTGCTTGGGGAGAAAAAGAGAGAGAGAGTTCTTCATTTATGATTTTACTGAAACTAGTGATATTTGAGGTTTATGCAGTTTAGCTTTCAAAAACCAATTGATTTGGACGTGATTTTGAACTTTTCTTCCCTGCATAAGAATTTAGTATGTAACAGAATCGTTTATGTAAATGGAAGCTGGAATCCTCATAATAAAACCCAGAGAAAATTAAAGTGCTAGAATCTAGAGATTGTTTTTCTGCTACTTATTGTGTTTTCTATCCCTGCAATTATTTTGTTATTATCAGGGATGGACACTTTATGAGGTACTCCGATATGTTCCTGAACATAATTGGATCGCATATGAACAAGCTCTTAAAGCCAATCCAGTGATAGCTAAAATGGCAATAAGTGGGATAGTCTACTCACTAGGAGATTGGATTGCACAAGTACTTTCCCTTCCCCCTTATCCAGTCAATAAATCCTTTAAATATGTATGCATTCAGCTCATATTGTGTTTACCTATGTGTAGTGTTATGAAGGAAATCCTCTTTTCGACTTTGACAGGACACGCCTGTTCAGATCCGGCCTCGTTGGATTTACTCTCCACGGATCACTTTCACATTATTATTACCAGTTCTGTGAGGTAATCGTTGTGGTTCGTAATTTATGTGTGTTACTGCTTTGATTGTCATGTTTCCATGGACCACTGAAATCGGTCACGTTGAGTTCCAGGCTCTGTTTCCTTTTGATGACTGGTGGGTGGTTCCGGCAAAAGTTCTCTTCGACCAAACAGTTTGGGCAGCAATCTGGAACACTATCTACTTCGTGGTTTTGGGGTTCTTGCGTTTCGAATCCTCCGATAATATCTTTGAAGAACTGAAGGCAACATTTTGGCCTATGCTAACTGTAAGAAGCATTTCTCCTGTTTCTTTCTATGTAAATTTTGGGTGTGATTCATTGTGGTATATACATGAGTTTTGCTAGACATGTCTGTTGACTGATATGTTTGTTTGGGTTTGATGAGTTAACTGCCTTTTGATTCATATCTTTAGCTAAACATCATTTATTGCTGATAAATAACACAACACTTTACAGGCAGGTTGGAAACTTTGGCCATTTGCTCATTTGATCACCTATGGTGTGATACCTGTCGAACAAAGGCTTCTTTGGGTTGATTGTGTGGAGCTTATCTGGGTAACCATATTGTCAACGTAAGTATCTCTGTCATCTTGTTTAATATTTTACAAATATGTAACTGTTTCTCCAGCATGCTCTTAGTATATTTTTAGTTGCTACAATGATAAAATCGTATATCGGGCGCTCATGTTGGTGCAGAAATTGCCGGGTTTTGTGTTTGGTTGAATGCATGTCATGTTTGTTTCGATGTGTCTAACACAGGCTGAATGCTTTTTTTTTCTTGAAGTTATTCTAACGAGAAATCAGAAGCGCGTATAACTGAAGATGCAGACTCTAGTCCCAAGGTAAAAGACTTGCTCTATAAGAATGTTTTGCATCTTTACCGAATATTTCATTTTAAACTAACAAATTGAAAATTTGATTTATGGTAATGAAGTTGATGTTTAGGTGCATCCACTTCCTTTCCATGATGCACTAATGCATATGTATCTTCCATTCTATTTTCGTCAGGAATAAACGAATTCGAGATCATGTCTCAATTGTAAAGACAGGAGGATCACTTGTGGTGAAACAGTAGTCCAAAGTTCCTACCATTTTTTATACTTGCTTATGTTAGTATTTCATGTATAATAGCCGGGGGGGGGGGGGGTTATTGAGCTTAGCTAAGATATCAGTAAATTAACCCAAGCCTAGTAGATGTTTCGACCCATCTCATAACTTAAGAATAATTCATTGCATGCAGGGGTGTGTAAATAAACAAAGTATTCAATTTATTATTTATGATCCCTTTGTTCATTTATTGCTCATTTATTGCAAGTATGGATGCAATTTTTATGTTCATTTGAGCGAAAACAAATATAAATGTGTTGAATTTATTTATGTTTACAAATAAATTCATTTATCGAACTCTTTACTCAATTCTCCCTTTTTAAATTTTTAAAATTTTCAATTTTTTTATATTTTTTCTTATATCTTTTAAATTTTAAATTTTAAATATTTATGTATTTTTCATATTTTAAATATTGGTGAATATATGAATTAAATTAAAGGTAATCTTTGAACATTGAAGTTCAAAATGTGAAGTCTAAGGAATTTAAGGATTAGTGGTGTAATTTCTTCATTTTTCTTTACTCGCAATTAAAAAGATAAAATGAGAGTGTTATTCGTGAACTTTTTGAAAGTAAATAAACAAACATGAATCGAATATTTTAAAATTTAAACAAATGAACACAAGCTCAAACTTGATTCGTTTACACCCTAATTGCAAGTGTTTCCAAGTACATATGTATTCCAACAAAGTAGAGAAGTATACCTACTGATTTAGCGTACTAGTTTACTATGATGCACTGATACGGATACGGGGACGGGAACGGAGACGAGAAACGGTAATTTTTAAAATTACAGGGTACGGGGACGGCGAGAGTACGTCATATAAAATAATTTTAAAATTATAAATATATAAAAAATCATAAATAAAGTCAAATATCAAGACTCAAACTACATTATTAATTTAGAACAGTAAATTCTACAAAGATAATACTTTATAGAAAAATTGGTGTGAAAATAAAAATATGTGAAGAGCCAAAATCCCTATTAAGCCTTTATATGTGAAGAAACATGTGTGGAAATAAAACATATATGCCTTCATTTTGACATAAAAGAAGTCATAAAATGTCAATTTGTACCCATATATATCCATCGCCCAAGATTTATTTTCTTTGTTATTTTTTATTTGTTTGTAGAACAGCAAGTGGACATAGAGTTTAATTAAAAATTCAATTAATTAATTTTTAAGAAACAATCTGTTAATTACATACATTTTTTAAATATCAATTTATTATATATCTATAAACACAGTTGATCATTTTTTATTCAAATAATTGTAGTATTAAAATATAACAATAAAAGGAATTAAAAAAAAGACAACAATGGCTTTTTATGTCAAGAAATCTGAAACATTTTCCAGAAAAGGGAAAAAGAAAAATTGAATGGTGTAGGTTATTATATAATAAGAGATTTGGAGGGAGGTGGAATCTAACGGCTCTGATCTCTGCTCATTTTAAAGATGAATATAATTAAAGGTCAAAAAACAGAGCAAGGGAAACAAATCAACATACTTCAGAGCAGAAACTAAGACTTCTTCTCATCCTCTTCAATCCAAAACCAGCGCCGCCACCGCCTTCGCTTTCAGTACTACTCAAAGAATCCGAGCTAGCCACCGGTTTCTTCATCGAGAAAGAAGAACCTCCTGACCACGGTACCACCTGATTCTCTGCATCTTCTTCTTCCTCCTCCTCCTCTTACTTTTCCTCTTCCTCTTCTCCGCCCGAGCAATTCTTGTCGTTGGTAATTACTCCGGGACGTCCCCGAAACGTCTCCAGGTAAGCTTTGACCATCCCTGAATTCGATCAACCGTACCTGCCACCGTGGTTGAAAATAAAGTCTTATAATCCGAAGTCAACCCATTATAATCCTCTAATAACTCATCATAAGATAAATCATCTTAATCAAATGAGTTAGAGGTTACCTGAGAATCCTCCCCAAATACCATCAAGCACAAGTTTGCTACTTCTTGTTCCTCTTCATCGGAACCTTCTTCATCGCTCCATGTAGCCACATGAGCCTTGTGATTCTTTTTGGATTGACCCTTTTTCTTCAATTGAGGGCAATCGTATTTGACATGACCCGGCTTTTTGCACTCATAGAAAATAATAGGGTCTTTCTCCTTCAGTTCATTTTTGAAGCGTTCGTTTCGTTTGAATTTTCTTCCTTGGTTGGGCCTCATTAATTTTCTGAACCGTTTAACAAATAATGTCATTTTCTCGTCATCGTCATCTTCATCCGAATCACTCTCATCCTTTGTGGATTTGAGAGAAACTCCACGTTCATCTTCTTCTCCGTCTCCTTTATTTCGTCCGTCTTTTCGAGGTTTACCTTATATTGAAGATCATTTCATGCGTGAGGAGAGAACCAATTAGCTCATCGAGGGTCAAGGATTTTAAGTTCTTAGCCTTGATGATCGCCGTCTTCTTTGATTGCCAAGATTTTAGAAGAGAGTAAACTAACTTCCTCATAAGCTTCTCATTTGGAATGATCTCTCCAAATGATTTGAAACCATTGACAATCGTGGAGAATCTATCCGTCATAGCTTTGATATCTTCATCCGGTTTCATCCTAGAATTTTTATAGCTATGAGTTAGAAGACTAATTTTAGATTCTTTTACCTCGTTTGTGCCTTCATGAGTGACTTGTAGTTTATCCCATATCTCCTTGGCAGTTGTACAAGATGGTACTCTCCCGTATTCATCCGGTCCAAGAGCACAAAATATAATATGGATAGCTTTGGAGTTGAGCTGGAGCATTCTTGTCTCTCCTTCACTCCACAATCTTGGATAAGTGGAAGGTTTGATATATCTGTCTTTTATGATATTCCATGCTCCCACGTCACTTGCTTTAATGAATTACATCATTCTATTCTTCCAATAAGCATAATTAGCTCCATTGAAGAGATGAGGCTTGTTGACGGGTAATGAATCAAGACCAAAGTCGAAGTTTGAAGTGGAGGTCATTGATGACTTGATTATCGATGTAATCTTCCCGAATCGACTCAAGAGGCGATTAAACCTTCAAATGAGTGAGGCTCTGATACAAATTGTTGAGTTAATCGATCGACGAATCGGCCAAGAGGGGGTGAATTGGCAATAAAAATTTCGGTGGAAGCTTTTGTAGAAAATGAAAAATAATTGCGCAACGATTTAGAGTGATTCGACTTTCTCAAGCAAAGTCTACGTCCACTACCTTAGCTATCTACACTAAGGATTTTTCACAAATTCACTAATTTGTCTTTCTTTTAAGGACAAAGAGTAACCTTACAAATCCCTCAAGAATTATACCCCAAATTTTGATAACACTCTCTCCTAAAGAGAACAATACAAATTTCACAAACTTATAGAAAAACCTCACCAGTCAAGATGTTTGCACAATTCTAGAACAAAGAAAGAACACTCAAGAATAATATAACAAAGCACAATAAGTGTTCTTGAAAGCAAAGATGAATATTGAATGAAATAGGCTTTAAAATGCTCAAACTTTGGGTTTGATGCTTTCTCTTTGATTCTCTTTTAATTCTTCTTAATTGTTGTTGATCAATGACTTCTAAGCTTGTTTAAATACTCCTTGGATCAATTCTGAACATTGGGGATCATTGATGGAGTCAATAGAGTCGTTATTGTGTGAAAGCAATTAATAGAACAGCTTGGAGCGTGGAGGGTATCAGCACCCTATCATAGGGTATCGATACCTTCAGTGTAAAATTTAAATTTTTCGACCGTTATAAGACTGGGGGTATCGGTACCTCCTTGGGGGTATCAGTACCCTCAGAGCATTCTGTTATTTTTCGGAGCCAAATCTTACATAGGGGTATCGGTATCCTTTGGGCAATCTACCTTTTTCGGTTTGAGATTTATTAAGAAAAGATTTTTGGCTCGATTAAGGCTCGAAATACTTTGTAAAATTTGTTTCAAAAATATTTTAAGATTAAAACATAACTTTATACTTAAGTAAGGATTAAAATTGTCATTTGAAAAACTTGGAGTAATATTTTTTATATTCGAATATTTTAATCGAATATATATTTGAAAATGATTAGAAAATCTTAAAATCCAATAACATTTAATTTGTTATATCGAAACATCAAAATATTTTCAACAATATTTTTATTAAAATAATATTAAAATTATATATTAATATTAAATATATAAATTAATAATATTTTAAATATTTATACTTTGCTTGAAAATTTTATAAAATAACACGAAAATAAATCATATTGTTCATTTATTTTCCGTCAATTAGTTTTGGATTAGGGATAACCCTAAACCGATTTTCAGTTCTCTACTATTTTTCTTTTGCTCCAAAGCTCTAACCGTTACAAAGAAACAACAATCAATCATTTTTTAATTAGAAAATTTTAAAAAAAGGTAATCACAGTATATCCCCTGCTCTCCATTCATTGGCTAATCCGACGTGGATCGTAGCTGTCTACCTCAATCCACCAAAATAATCATCCGATAATCACTTGCCACGTTCATTGGCCGCGGCAGTTGGTACATCCGATCATCACTGTCCCAGGTAGAACCCAACACGCTCTGCTAGTTGCTATAAATTTGAGAACCAAAATTTCGTTGCCACATTAAAATTTTGAAACTCCTAACTAACAAGGGAAGTGGCCGGAGAAATGGAAAAGATGATGGTGACATTACATAATTCGGAGGAAATCGACAAGTTCCTTGACGGAGCAGCGAGTTTCGCCGACATGATGTTTGGATTCTTAGATGGAAACAACGAGTCAGGAAAATTCAGGGGACTTGGTTGACCCTGATGAAAATGTTAACCGCAAGGAGGTTCAACACAACAAAATTTTCTGGGAAGCCCAACAACAGCTGCTTCAGGTAAACTATGTCCCATGTTTAAAGTTTTAAACATCTTGTAGTTGGGTGATTAATGTTGATGCATTGTAAATTGCAGGTATTTTTGCGCCGAACTACTTGTCTGGAATCAAGAATTCAACAAGCTACAAAACAAGCATTGAATGAAATAGAAAAGTGCGGTTGTCGGACCGGTGGTTGCCGGAACTGTCTGCAAAGGGAGCTCTCGGTTCGTCTCCGAAAATCAGGTTTCAATTGTTACATAAGCAAGTCCAAATGGAGGAGCTCCCCTCCGTATTTG